GTGATCACTGATGCAAAGTTCTAGAAAATCAGAATTATACCTAGATGCCAGTAATCAACACATCAGTTCGTGGGCAACTGACAGAGACCATCTGCAAAGGGCATGATGAAACACTGAGTGTGATGGTGGTTGCATGAAGATATAAATACTTGTTAAAATGTATCCAACTACATATTTTACATATGCACACTTACTTTGTTAATTCTCTCTCAATAGAGTCCTCATAATTCTTTTTTTTTTTTTTTTTTTTTTTTGGTTTTTCGAGACAGGGTTTCTCTGTGGTTTTGGAGCCTGTCCTGAAACTAGCTCTTGTAGACCAGGCTGGTCTCGAACTCACAGAGATCCGCCTGCCTCTGCCTCCCAAGTGTTGGGATTAAAGGCGTGCGCCACCACTGCCCAGCTTCTCATAATTCTTTATATTAGATATTGGTAAAACAAAAAGGGTCCACAGTGGATGAAGAAGGACATAAATCACCACATCCCCCAAATACTCAAGAAATGCCCCTACTTCATATAAAAGCTACAGTCCACTCTGTAATATGCATTTTTGTGTCTATTCTGATTCCATCTTTAAAGAGAGTGTTTTGTTCAATTAATTTCCCTTAAAGACTCAAATCATCATTCTCCACTAACCAAAATAACCAAATATAGATAAACTCTATTTTTAAAATGGCTATTTGTCTGCACTCCAAAGACAACATCTACTTCCCTACTGTCAATGTTATAAATATTCCAAAGAGTGACTAGGGAGAAAGAAAGGATAAAAAATTATTGCATAGGAAAAACATTATTGCAATTAAAGCTCAAGTATTTTTAGTCATTTAGCTACATATTAAACACTGTTTCACAAAGGGACCAACAGACTTATATACAGCATAATTTGATAAGAGTTTAGCCTTAAAAATAACATATAATGGGCAATGGTGGTACACATCTTTAATACCAGCACTCCGGAGGCAGAGGTAGGTGAATCTCTGAGTTCAAGGCCATCCTGGTCTACAGAGTGAGTTCCAGGACAGCCAGTGTTACACAGAGAATCCCTGTCTCAAAAAAAAAAAAAGTCCCAAACAACAACAAAAAGATATAACTTGAAAAGAATCACTAAAAAAGTATGCATATGGTCAATGAGCATATAAGAAAAGGTGCTCAGCACCTGTGGTTGTCAGTTAAATACAAACAAAACTATGAAGCTGGAGAGATGGCTCAGTAGTTAGAAGCACTAGCTACTCTTCCAGAATACCCGGGTTCGATACCCAGCCCCATATAGCTACTCACAACCATCTGTCACTATAGTGACAGCTGATCTGATGCCCTCTCTGGCCTCTGTGGGTGCACAGACATGCATGTAGGTAAAACATCCATACACACAAAATAAAATAATTTAAACAACTATAAGTTACCATTTCAAATTCATTTAGAATATTTAATGCTAAAGCCTGGCACAACATTACTTGAAAAACTATTACTGCTGTTATGACTTGGATGATTTTAGACATTTTAATAATACATTAAAGGATATTTCATGGATTATAGGGAAAAAACAGCAGCCACAAAAAGCAGATTAGTGGTAGCTTAGGGCTAGGAGGAGGGTGGAAGAGGATGGCTAGATTACAGGTTTCCTTTTGAGATAATGAGGGTATTCTAAAATTGGCTATCGTGATGGTGCACATATTTCTGAGTGTCCTAACCACAACTGGATTTTGCATATCAAATAAAGATTATAATATATGAACTAAATCTCCATAACAGAGTTAGTTGAAAAGCTAGAGATTTTGATTAGGATTATATTGGAAGGTATAGGTCAATCTGGAGAAAATATGTACCTTTACAGTGCTGATTCTTTGAACACAGGAAAATTTAATCATTTTCTACTTAATTATATATCCTTTAGGTTCTTATAATAATGTTTTATAGAATTATAAGCAGAAGTGTTATATATATTTTATTAGATTTTAGGTAAGTGCATTATATTTATGGTGCTTTTTATATAGTATCTTTAAAAAGAAAAGTTGGATGTGATGTTACATACCTATACTCTTAATACCCAGGAAGCTGAGGCAGGAGGATTAACAGTTCTATAGAATGAGTTCGAACCCATCGAGGATAACAATGAGGGTGATAAGGGAAGAAGGAAAAGAAGCATATGAGCAGAAAGAGAAAAAAAGTATAATTTAAAAAACTGAATGTATACAAGCTAAAAGATTATTTCACTCTACAATTTGCATGTTCCCTAAATATAACTCATATTAAACTTTTAAAACTGCATTCTGATCTTTACTGAAAGCATAAACTCTTTTTTCTGAACTATAATCCTATGTTTCTACTAATAAGCAGGATAATCTCATGCCATTAGAGTCAAAAGCTGTGGTGATTCATTATTAAGAAAATATTTCTTACATTCTACAAGATTAGAACTTCTGCTGAACCTCACAACCAGAGTAAATCATACACCTTGAGGTCACCTAAGACTTAACACTGGGTCAGGACATATAAACGGAGACTACTTTTTGGTTTCCCGGCCACCAAGACCTGAATAATCACACAGAAACTATATTAATGGCCTATTAGCTCAGGATTCTTATTAACTAACTCTTAAATTAACCCATTTCTATTATTCTGTTGCCATGAGGTTGTGGTCTACCAGTAAGGTTCCAGCATCTGCCTCCTTTGGTGTCTTTTGGCATCTCTTTGACTCCACCTACTCTCTCTATGTATTTCTGTTAGGATTTCCCACCTAGCTTTATTTTGACCTGCCATAGGCCAAAGCAGATTCTTTATTAACCAATGGTAATAAAACGTATTCACAGTATACAGAGGGGAATCCTATATCAAGGACATAGTGGTGCATGTCTTTATCCCAGCACTTGGGAAGCAGAGGCAGGTAAGTCTTGGCAAGTTCAAGAACAGCTTGCTCTATACAGTAAGTTCCTGAACAGTCACAGCTACACAGGGAGACCCTGTCTCAAAAACACCAAAAAAGACTTAAAATTGCTATTCTACTGTATACTCATACAGTTTACCTGCCTTTAAGAGAATAATTTAACAATCAACTTTACTTGCTGTGGATTTCCCATGTAATCAACTTTTATAACCTAAACTAATGAATGCATAACTGTAACCCTAAATTGTGCACTTTTCCAAGAATGCTCTAATAATCATTTGCTGAAAGCAGAAAAATAGAGGTTGAAAGCAATCTTATAAAATGGATAGATATCCAGTTTCTCAGAAAATTGGAATCAATATACCTCAAGATCCTGCTATATCACTCTTGGGCATATACCCAAAGGATGCTCCATCATACCACAAGGACACTTCCTTAACTATGTTCATAGCAGCTTTATTTGTAATAGCCAGAAACTGGAAACAACCCAGATGACCAAGGAATGGATAAAGAAAATGTGGTACATTGACACAATGAAGTATTAGTAAACTGTTAAAAAAATTACATCATGAAATTTGTAGGCAAATGGTTAGAACTGGAAAAAAAAATCATCCTGAGTGAGGTAACCCAGACCCAGAAAGACAAACATGGTAGGGACTCACTCATAAGTGAATTTAGCTGTAAAGGAAAGGATAACTTCGCTACAATCCACAGACCCGGGGAGGCTAGCTAACAAGGAGAGCTCAAGGCAGGGATACTGTCTGTTATCTGGGTCAGTTGAGGTTAACTGGACTCTATACCTGATCCCTTGTAAAACTCTGCTAAAGATTTCTGTAAAGTATCTCTCACTCTTTCCCCATGTGATACCTTCTGTGCTGTTCAATAAAGACAGAACAAAACCCTTTGTCAGGGATAGTCACACAGAGTTATACACAGATACAGAGACAGATTTATAGGGCAAACTTTAAGCATCATAGATTCAGACTTATGCAGTAGAAAGAGAGGAGATGAAAGATGTAGGGAGCATGAAGTAGAGAATTCAAATATGGCCTTGATTTTGGTTAAATGACACCAAGGGGAGTGCTAGTATTTCTTTCTTTATATAATAACAATATATTATTGGTGACTTGGAGATTATTTCTGAAGTATTCAAACCAACTGCAAAAGGCATATATATGAAACTTCTTTAGAAAAAAGGTCACTTTTTAAAATTCTAAGATTTTTTCAGACAGTTTAAAAAGTATCCAAATGTAGCGAGCTGCGTGGTGTCACACCTGATGGAGATGTATAATCAACTCCTGAGATGGCTAAGGCCTGACCTGTGCTATAATCACGCAATGATTATCAGCTGCCTGCATATGCGTGAACCTATGGGCAGTGCCCACCTGGCAGTTCGGGGTTGGCAGCCCATGCCTACTTAAGGGCTGGGAGAGGTTTGCCCGGAGAGAGAAGAGAGGGAAAAAGAGAGAGAGGAAGGAAAGACGAGAAAGATTGCTGTGAATAAAGTCCTGAATAAAACTGCAGTGAGAAGAATTCCGGGTGTCGCATCATCCTTGCGGGTCGAGGGTGGCCGTGACATTCAAATAAATAATATTTCCACTTATGGGGCTAAATTTTATGTTGGAATAATGTGAAAAATAGTGTTTGGTCTGAAGCATCACCCCAGCTTCCTAACACCCCTTTATACAAAAAGTCTGGATTGTTTTGCCTGGGGGCTTCACCCCTGGCTCCTGGCATAATACGCCCCCCCAGGGAGGGTCATGACAGCCTGCCAAACAGTAACCCCTCCCCAGGGAAGGTCAAGACCACTCCCACAGGCTATTTAGACTGCCCCCCCCTCAGAGAATGAACATGTGGTCTCTGGGTTTTGCATGATCTCCCCTATTCTCTCTTCCTCTCTCCATGCTTTCCCAGGACCACCAGGGAGCATTCCATTAATCTTTTAATTCGGTTTAATTTGGTCTTTATTGGAATTATTTGTGTCGGCAGAGAGGCTCATCTTAAGAAATACCTAACAGATAGGACTTTAACGCAAAGAGATTCTCAGAAAGTATAGAATCTACAAGTTACTAACTGATGACCAGGACTAACAGACTGATTAACAATTGTATAACATTACCTGGTCAATGATAGAATTTAGCTTGGTAAGTAACAGAAATCCTCGACCATGGACAAGGTACTGTCCAAGTGTTGCCATGTGTGTCTCCTCTTCTTCTTCTTCCCTGGCCTCCACTCTCTGGACCACTGCATTGCAGAGCTGGTTGACATCGATCAGAAATTCACGTGCCAATGAGTTACTGTCAGTACTCATGACAGAGCTATACAATGAAAAGAATATAAAAGTTTTTAAATGAATATAAATTTACCTTTAAATGTATGTGATTTGTAGAGTGACTTAAGATTGTTATATATCAATCCCTAGCTCTCTATTACTCTCAGGCACAGTTCTGACCTCATTAGGTAAAGCCTACATGGCAGTACTAGTCCAGGGTTTGAAACCTTGGCACAGATAGGCAGGCATGAGTGACACCACTTGAGAGAAGACACAGGTGAACAGTGATAGTTAAGGGAGGTTCTGACTTTCTCTCTTATATAGACTAAACAATTACTTTGCATATTTAAAACAGATAAATGGCTCTTTTAAAAATATAAACTGAAGGTTACAGAAATGGTTCAGTGGTTAAGAACCCTTGCTGCTCCTGTAAAGGACAAGGATTCAGTCCCCATCATATCCATATGGCAACTCACAACTGCCTTGTAACTCCAGTTCCAGGGGATCCAAGGCCTCCTTCGGGTCTCCCTGGGCACCAAGCAAACATGTGATGCACATACATGTGCAGACAAGACACTTGTGCACACAAAATGAAAACAAATAAATCTTAAACTATAGGATAAATAATAGAACATAACATACGTGGGAGCCGAGAATGCAGGCTGTTTCCCACATTTGTCTGAGGGTTGGAGACTAACCAGTACATTTGGCACTGCTCCTTTGGTAGTAAAGCCTAGCCAGTGCCATCCTGAAAGTGGTCAGGATATGCAATTGTTGTTCTACTCCTTCTATTGTAATTATGAGGTCACCTGGGGAAGAGGTGTTTTCAGCCTAGGTGACAAAATGGACTTAAGTCATTCCCCGCTACCTAGGAAACAGAATGTTAATGAAGTTTTTGTTACCTTCCCCCTCAGTTTATGTTGATATAAAAGCTGTTTGAAAAATAAACGTGGGCGATTTCAGGATTTGAATGATCACTGAAACTCCCTCCCGAAACTGTCAAGTGAACTGTGTCTTTAATATTCTCACACCTCTATGCTGGTAAGAAATGATTTATGTTGGGGCTGGACCCCGACAAACATAGAATTTTTCTCTTGATATTACCCAGTCATTGGCTTACTCTCCTAAAACTCCAATACTTAGTTAATGTAGGAAGTGATTCCTGTCAGGTAAGAACTGAAGAACTTTAGCTGCCTAGCTTATGCCACTTTTAGCCAAATAAAAAGCAATGTGTTACTTTAGCATTAAGGAAAATAGCAAGGTAAAACATGCAGGGAATGAAGACAGAAAAATGTACACTCAGAAAAGAAAAATCATAAACAACATAGGACTCAAAGAGCTTCAGAACAGTTTTATCTTATGGCTAGAAGTAACTTGGAGAACTGAGAGAAGGCTGAGCATTTAAGAGCACTTGCTGCTCTTGCAGAGGACCTATATTTGGCTCCCAGAACCCACATGGCACCTAAAAACCTTCTGTAATTGCAGTCCCAGGGGATATGACACCCTCTTCTGGGCTCTGCAGCACCAGGCAAACACATGAGTGCACATATATAATACAAGAAAGTATTCAAATATTTAAAAAAAAAACTCTTCCTGAAAGTTCTTACTCTTTATTTTTTTAAATTGACAAAATTTCATTTATTGTACAAAACACAATATTTTAAAACATATCTATCAAATACACTATGGAATGTTCAAATCAAGTTAATTAACAATTTTATTATTTTACACAGTTATCCTACAATGAGAACACCAAGGTTCACTGTTTTACATTCTCTCCCCAACCTCTACCCCGACAGGGTTTCTCTGTAGCCCTGGCTGTCCTGAAACTCACAGATCCATCTGCCTCTGCCTCCGCCTCCTGAGTGCTGGGATTAAGGGTGTGCACCACCACAACCTGATCTGTTTTACATTTTTTTTTTTTTGTTTTTTGTTTTTCGAGACAGGGTTTCTCTGTGGTTTTGGAGCCTATCCTGGAACTAGCTCTTGTAGACCAGGCTGGTCTCGAACTCAGAGATCCGCCTGCCTCTGCCTCCCAAGTGCTGGGATTAAAGGTGTGCGCCACCACTGCCCGGCCTGTTTTACATTTTTAAAGAATATAATATATCATCACTGACTAGAGTGACTATGCCAGGCAACAAATTACCATTATGTACAAATTGCCAAAGTTCTGAATTCTCCTATGCAGTAATCATACAACAGCGACATCCTAACTGCACACAAACAGAACACAACGCTAGTAGGTCATTAGAGGGTATTTCTATTTTGTTCATTACTTCTTTCTTTTTTTTTTTTTTTTTTTTTTTTTGGTTTTTCGAGACAGGGTTTCTCTGTGGCTTTGGAGCCTGTCCTGGAACTAGCTCTGTAGACCAGGCTGGTCTCGAACTCACAGAGATCCGCCTACCTCTGCCTCCCAAGTGCTGGGATTAAAGGCGTGCGCCACCATCGCCCGGCTTCATTACTTCTTTCAATAAATGTTGAATATACCTGAATATTTTCCAGCCATTCTGAATATCAGCTGAGCAGATGGGCATATATTTTCTAATATTTCATATACTCAGAAAAGTATAAAGAATACATAATGTGAGCAAATACACAAAAATACACATACACTACACACAAATGTTTTAAAAAGATATAGAACATGAGATTACAGCCAACACCCAGAATCGGTGTTAGCATTCAAGATGCTCAGGTAAGTTTGTGAATGTGTATGTATATGTGTAAAGAAACAAAGATTTACAGCACAGGAAAGCTACATCTACACTAGCTGGTACTTATTACTATGCATGGTTTTACAGGTTACACATGCTCATAGCTATAAAAATACTAACTATACAATCTAAATATACACCTTTCCTATAGAGAATCTAATTGTTTACTCTAACTATATTAACTCCAAAATTTCACCTTGACCCCAGACTTCTGACTGCTAATATTACTCTACTTACCAGTCTTTCAACACTTCTGTAACATTCAGAATGTCTAATATTTTGGTTCATGAACTAGATGAAACTGTTTCAGCAAAAGGCTTCACCTGTAAGAAAAAGATGCAAATACATTAGCAGCAATAATAAACCACAAATAATGCTAAAAAGTTCTTGCAAAATATCATCAGCCAGTTTTTATATGTGATATATATAACTGGCAACAAATTATTCGTGATCTCAAGAGCACACTTCAAAGAAAAAAATCCTAGTTAGCTGAGAACCTCTTAAAAGCCCACTCACCCACCACTGACCTGAGAACAGGGCAAAGCTCCACACCTTATACAGGTAGTACAGGTAGAGGGCAACCCCAGCCCCTACCCACCCAAACTGAGACTGGGGCAGAGCTGTGTGTCTCATACAGGTAGCACCGGTTCCTAAAGCCTAATTGTTGTATCAACAGATTAATGTATCTCTTGACCCTGACCAGAGAAACGCCTCTTTTGTGGAGTAGGTAACAATTTAACACAAAGAACCATAACTGCCCAATATGCAGAGAATAAGAGACTGTGGATCTAAATGGCACATCTATACCACACCCCCCTCCTCCCAAGGCACAGGGATGGAAGAAGAGGAGATGGAAAGGTTGTAAGAAGAAAAAGAAGCAGTAGGTGACTATAGCCAGTATTTTCCTTCATACAACAGGGAGGTTCCACAGAGAAATTGACAGTGGTTCAAGACCTGCACAAGATCAAGCCAGACAAAGACCCGGAATGAAGGGAGGAGGTGGTCAGGAACTTCTACCCCTGAAGACCTACTGACAAGTAATGACTGCTAGAAAAAGAAGAGTAACTTCTCTTCAAGGATGTGGTATCTGAGAGATTCTGTATATTCCAGTAGATGACCCTACACTTATGCATACCAGCAACACTAAGTGAACTCTGGGTTTAAAAAAGAGAAATAGAACATATGAAATTGGGAGGGAAGTGGTGGGGGGGGGGGTAAGGGAGAAAATGGAGGAGAAGGAATGAGATGTGAACTTGATCAAAACAATATATGCAAGCATAAAATTCTTAATTAATAAAAAAATTAAGAATGAAAATAAAGAAATAAATGCCTAACTTCAAGAACTGAGTCTTGATGAAGGAAATCCTGGAATATAGAGCTGTAAACATAGCCACAACACTCTACTCTTCCTTTTCCAACTCCTACCTCCACATAAAACACAAATTAACCACAAAGGAGAATGAGACAAGAATGCTAAACGGAATCTAGGGAACGGTTGGATATCACCCACATACAATTCAATCTCTCTACAGACAATTTATAACTCTCCTGTCAGTGTGAAAGGTATTTGAAGATATATGAGAACTCAAAACCCCAAAACCAAATAATGATGAAGTCCCACCAAATATCATATTCTTGAATTCCTTGTTTTGTTTGAATTCTTTAAATGAAATGAAATTCTTCTGGATATAATACAATAAAGGCTACTTCCAGAATGCTAAGGAAAATTTCCTGCTTCTGAGAGCAACAAGATGCTTCTGTTTAGCTTTCTGTTCTCTTATAGTCGTTACCAGAAAGACATGGGGAAATGTTTCTTTATTGGCTATAAGGGATTATTTTTAATAGCAAGGTTTTTAGAAAACTAAAAGTGATCTTTAAATGTTTTAAAATACTTAATATCCAAAAAGTTACCTTGAGTGTGTTGGCAAACAGTCTTCATTATTATAATAATGTCTTCACTCATTATTCTATGCCCTAGAAGACAAAGCAGGCTGGAAAAGGAACAAGGAGCCATGTGAGACTACATGGAGCTTTGTGTGAGTCAGAGAATAGATGCAGCCCACACTACCAGTGAACAGTATAACAGCAGCTCAGCTAATTGCCCACAGAACTCTACATACATTACAGCTGCAACATCATCTGCCTTCAAAGGGGGTGGGGGAGCAAGGTGATTAGCATCATCTAGAATAAATTCTTAGAGAACCCATGGAAACTACTTACCTTCCCCATGTGTTTTTTTTTTTTAAATATTTATTTATTATGTATACAATATTCTGTGTGTGTGTATGTCTGCAGGCCAGAAGAGGGCACCAGACCTCATTACAGATGGTTGTGAGCCACCATGTGGTTGCTGGGAATTGAACTCAGGACCTTTGGAAGAGCAGGCAATGCTCTTAACCACTGAGCCATCTCTCCAGCCCCCCCCCATGTGTTTTTTAAAGCCCAGAGGGACTACCAATATTTTAAAGTCATCTCTGAAATTTTATGAGAGTAATGTCAATTTCACTGAAGTCTATATTCTTTTAAATTTTGCAACTTTGCACGTAGTAATAAAAAAAATAATATAAATAAATAAATAAGCTGGGTGGTGGTGGCGCACGCCTTTAATCCCAGCACTCGGGAGGCAGAGGCAGGCGGATCTCTGTGAGCTCGAGGCCAGCCTGGTCTAGAAGAGGTTCCATGACAGGAACCAAAAGCTACAGAGAAATCCTGTCTCGAAAATCAATCAATCAATCAATCAATAAATAAATAAATAATAAAAACCCAGAGACAGATAGATATTGGGGTTCAAACCACTAGAGAGTTCTTACCTCTAAGAAATCCTAAGACTGAAAGAGAGCAAGTTTCTGTCTCATCCCAGCTTATATTCCTCTCTAGTGCTGGGATTAACGATGTGAGCCACCACCACCTGGATCTGTTTCTGCATTGATCTTGTGTAGCCCAGGGGGGCCTTGAACTCACAGATACATCTGCCTCTGTCTCCCTTTTATCTGTCTTACTTTTACCTTCATTAATCTGCTTATAGGTCATTCTCTCTGTGTTAGAGAAGACAAAGAACTAAAGCTGGGAACTTTTGTTTGTTCTTTGAATCCAATTACAAGGTCAGTTTTTTAACAATTCGTTTGTAATTTTCTTTTTTTTTTTACTCTTTTCTTTTTTATTATTTTTAAAAGGAAAACAAACTATCTTTTTTTATTTTACATACCAATCCCAGTTCCCACTCTCTTCACCAACCTCCTCACCACCACACCCCCATCCACTCCTCATAGAGGGTAAGGCACATTGCTTTGAGGAAGGTCCAAGGCCCTCCCTACTATATCTAGGCTGAGCAAGGTATCCATTCAAAGAAAGTAGGTTCCCAAAAAGCCAGTACAAGCAGTAGGGATAAATCCTGGTCCCACTGGCAGTGGCTCCTCAGTCTGCCCAGAAGGACTAGTTTGGACCTATGCTTGTTCCTTCCCTGTACAGCTGGAGTTGGTGAGCTCTCATTAGGTCAGGTAAACTGTTTCTGTAGGTGTACCCATCACAGTCTTGACCTCTTTGCTATATACAAATGATAAAGAAGCTGAGAAAGAAATCAGAGAAACATCACCCTTCACAATAGCCAATAGCATAAAATATCTTGGGGTAACACTAACCAAAGAAGTGAAAGACCTGTTTGACAGGAACTTTAAATCTTTGAAGAAAAAATTTGAAGATACCAGAAAATGGAAAGATCTCCCATGCTCTTGGAGAGGTAAAATTAACATAATAAAAATGGCAATCCTCCCAAAAGCAATCTATAGATTCAATGCAATCCCCGTCAATGCAATCCAACACAATTCTTCACAGACCTTGAAAGAACAATAACCAACTTCATATGGAAAAACAAAAAAACCCAGGATAGCCAAAACAATTCTATACAATAAAGGAACTTCCAGAGGCATCACCATCCCTGTCATCAAGCTCTATTATAGAGCTACAATAATGTAAACAAGTTGGTATTAGCATAAAACAGAGAGATTGACCAATGGAATTGAATTGAAGACATGGATATTAATCCACACACCTATGGACACCTATTTTTCGACAAAGAAGCTAAAATTATACAATAGAAAAAAGAAAGCCGGGCGGTGGTGGCGCACGTCTTTAATCCCAGCACTCGGGAGGCAGAGGCAGGCGGATCTCTGTGAGTTCGAGACCAGCCTGGTCGACAAGAGCTAGTTCCAGGACAGGCTCCAAAACCACAGAGAAACCCTGTCTCGAAAAACCAAAAAAAAAAAAAAAGAAAGCATCTTCAACAAATGCTGCTGGCATAACGGAATATCAACATGTATTTGTAATTTTCATTCTCTTTTTTACAAAGTAAAAAGGTCAGATTAACCTGTTTCAAAATCTCAGTTCTTTATTCTATTGGGATGCATTTCTCTTTTGTGTCTGTATGTGTATATTATTTGGTTTCATATCTTTCTTCCTCCTTCTGCACATGCTATTTTAAAGCCAGTCCATTTACCTAATTTATTTCCCTATCTTTTTTCCTTTACATATTTCCAGTTGTTCCATAAAAGCTCTATGACTACTGTATGATCTTTTGTTTCCAGAATTTATATCCATGGTACCTTATTTATCTATTTATTACCACCTTATCTCTTTACACCTTACAAACTTCATATTTTTAATTTCAGTTTTATTTATTATTGCATGTAAACAGTATGTCTTAGTTACTTTTTTTATTGCTGTGAAGAGATAACATGACCAAGGCAACTTACAGAAAAGTTTATTGGAATTTATGACTTCAGAGAGTGAGCCGTGACCATCATGACAGAAAGTAGAGCAGCAGGCAGGCAGACATGGCCCTGGAGCAATAGCTAATAGCTTACGTCTGATCCACAAGCAGGAGGCAGAGAGAGTGCTAACTGGTAACAGTGTGGGTTTTTGAAAACTCAAAGTCCACCCCAGGTGACACATCTCCTCTATGAAGGCCACAGCCCTTTCTAAACAGTATTACCAATCAAGAACCAAGTATTCAAATATGAGCCTATGGAGGTCATTCTCATTCAAACACATGCCATGGCACACATGTAGAAATCAGAGGATAATTTTGTAAAGTCAGTTTTCCTTCCACCTTTACAAGGGTTCTAGGGATGGAAGTCAGATCATCAGGCTCCTGTGGCAAATGTTTCTACCTGCTGAGTCATGTCTCCAGTCTCTGCTGCTCCATACCTTAGTTTGCTGTATCCCAGCTATGGTGGTTAATCTTGTCAATTTGATTGGATTGGGACATGGCCAGTAAAACACACCTCTCAGCATAAGCATATCTGACGATTTTTCCAGAGACAACTGGATCTGGAGGGCTC